ATTTAGACCATTTCCACATTACAGATATTAAATACCAAATCTACATAGGATTGTGTACTCGATACTAGATCAGTCTTTGCTTCCCAGGACTCCCCCACACGTCCCCATGCTCCGGGTCGCCATGTCCTCCTCATCCAGACTTTGGTTTCGGCATCATGGACCTTCAGAACACACCCCGATACCTAATGATGATTGTAACTACTCAGTCAGGGAATAGTTTGTATCAGCTTTCCCAATGGGAGCGCCAACCCGGGGTTTCGCGGCCGCACACCCTGGGTAATGGCAGTCACCTTGCGATGGCATTTTCTTTACTCTCTCAGCTCCTCTGACAGGGGAGAGAACTTTGCTTCCCAGCCTCCGGTCCAGAGGCTGAGTGGACTCTCGGGCAGTCCTGGTCAGTGGAATGGAAGGTTCCGTATCGTGCCATCCAGGGCAGTAGCCCCTGGCCACGTGTGGCAATTGAGCACTGAAACGTGGCTCAAGTGCCTGGGAAACAGAATTCTTAATTGTATTTAATTTCAGCGAATTTAAATTTAAATACCACATGTGGCTGCTGTATTGGACAGCCCAGATCTCAAGGGCTGGGGAAAATGGGTCAAATGCAGGGCCTGAGGGAGAGCTGTGTGTGACCCTAACGAGAGGACACCGATTGCCCGTGCCTCCCAAGTGCGTGGGACTTGACCTTGCTGCACAAGTAAAAGCCTGTTTGACCAAATTTCGCAGAGTGTCAAAGGTGAATAACGTCTGCAGGAATCTCGCTTCTGTGCTGTACCGAGGAGAGCATTACTTACTTGTTCTTTTCTTTCTTTTAAGAAAAGCAGCACTGAGTTCCCCTTAGCGGTGATTCCTTGCATAGGTTGTATATCCTGCTTCCTCTGCTTGATTTCATTAAGCCTGCACATAAATATATACCTTGTACTCAAAGCCGAACCCAAATATATACCTTGTACTCAAAGCCGAACCGATTTGGGGTGGTTGGGGGAAATAAACTGTTACTGAGATGGAAACTTGTGGTGGATTCATCTCTTTTGCTTTTACTAGCGTTGGGGACATTGTTGGCCTGATAGAAGAGAGGTTTTGTACAAAGCCACACCGTGGGTGGTCGGAGGAGCTGACTTCATCTGGAATCGCACTTGCTAGAACACGCAGGCAATGCCTGCAGCTCTGCCCTGGAGGCCCGATCACCGTGGCTTCAGCGTTTGTGGCTGGGGAGGGTCCACCTGTGATTTCTCCGCTCTGCATCTTTGCAGCTGCGCTCCGTGTCCCCGGGCGTCAGTGGCTTTGTGGTCTAGTAAGTTCGAGAGACTTACTTGGACGGTGTTTCAGTCGCCACCGGTCCTTTTACTACGAGCAGAGTCCGACAAATCACTGACAGCTCTACCACTGTCTCTCTGTGATTCCCTACTCGACTCTCCCAGTCCTCCTTTCTGCGAGAGTTTCACATACCCATGAAAAGAGGAAGTTGTGCATAGGCCCGTTTGGTGGGTG